CACCACCCGGTTGGCTGACCGCGGTCAACGGCATTTTCTGATGCGTTCGAACAACGACAAAAACACAAAGGCATACCCCTGCTTTCAAAAGTGTGTTCAATTTGTTAAGGTGTTTTAGTGAATGTTGGGACATCAGAACCATGCTTAATAATAGACGTCCTGTACGTTCTTTTACTCTAATGCCTACAAACTAACACGACTCAACATCGACATTGTTGCTCTGAGTGAAATTTGAAGTTCATCTTCATCAGGAAGACAACTTCAAAGAACATAGTGCCTGCTATACATTCTATTGATTGGGCAAACCCGAAAATTAGTTTGCAAGAGATGGCTTAATGACTAAAAACTCCACCGCCTTAAACTCAATAATTTGCCCACAGATTATTCCGATCGCATTATCTCCTTACGCCTTCCACTACACAACAAGCAGCATATTATTTCCTTCAGCATATTTGTCCCTACTCTGCAAGCTGATCTTATGAAAAACAAATTCTACACCGACCTGCGCCTTCTCATTTAAAGGGTTCTGCAGACTGCAAGGTCATATTCCTTGATGACTTCAACACCAGAGCAGGAAGGAATTCTGAAGCCTGGAAAGGAGTACTAGACAAGACGGTGCAAAAACTGCAATGATAGCGGACTGTTCCTGTTAGAATTTTGTACAGATCAGCAATTCACCATCGCAAACACTATCTTCCAGCAGAGAGACAGCAGAGATAATCTGATGCATTCCCGACCCAAGCATTGGCACTTTATTGACTATGTCTTATACGTCAGAGAGTTCACGATTTCTATCATACTGAGTGAAGAATGTCAAACAAACCAGCATTTAGTGCAATACAAACTTAACCTCCACTATAAGCCTAAACCTAAGAGGATCGGAATTCCAAGGAGGAAGCTCAAATTTAACAATCTTCAAACAGCCCCAGTAAAAGACAGTTTTCAGATCAACCTTTAAATAGACCTGAAGACCATCTCACAGATCCATGTTTAGGCAACATATTAAAAACATCGTCCTGCAGTCTTCCGAAGAACCCTTAGGATTCCTCTTCAAGAAAAACAAAGACTGGTTTGATGAAAACAACCAAGACATTCAGGAATTGCTGACAAAGAGAACTAGCTCACCATCTTACCATGTAAGGAAAGGAAAGAGCCTTTCGTCTTGCATGCAGTAAGCTTCAACAGAAATTTCGAGACATGTAGAATAAGTGGTGGACCAATCTAGTCGAAAAGATTCATCTCTGTGCAGATTCCGGTGAACACGGAGGATTCTATTTGGCTCTAAAAGCTGTGTACGGACCCATAAACCATACTTAAAGCTCTACACAGTGCAAATAACCAAATGCTTCTCACAGAGAAAACCTCATCCTGACTCGATGGTCTGAACATTTCCAAACTCTCTTCAGTGCCAACCGTGTATTCCAAGGTTCAGCAGTTCAGCAAATTACACAACCTGTGAAAAAAGAATTGAATATAGTCCTTACTATGGTAGAGACTTTTAAGGCTATACAGCATATGAAAACTGACGGAGTAACTTGGGTTGGTGGAATCCTACCTGAAGTCTAGGAGCATAAAGGTCAAGCATTCGATGCTAAATTTCACGCGCTCGCTATGGTTCCTGCAAAAATAGTGAACTACCATGAGATCTCTGTGATTCGGTCATCATCACCCTGTACAAGATGAAAGAAGAAAAATCAAACAGCTCAAATTACCGAGGTATTACTTTACTCTCTGTTGCTGGTAAATTGCTTGAAAAAATCAAAAAACAGATTACTACCTCCTATCTCAGAAACTCAATGTGGTTTCAAAGCCAATAAGAGTACCAATGACATATTGTTTGTTCTCAGACAACTGCAAAAGAAACACAGAGAACAGAACAATGGACTCTAAGCTAATAACTTCCGTGAACCTCATCAAAAGTTCTGATACTGTGAGCAAAAAAGGCCTATAACAGATCTTGAAACGATTAGGATGTTTTTTCAAAAGGATTATGCGTTACATGAGGATAAGCGTGGCCAAGTCATATATGTGATGCACTCTCTGAGTTCTTAATCAATAGTATGAAACGTGATATCGATGGCGTCATCCAACAATCAATGGTATAAAACAA